ATATGCCATTTGATCGTTGAGTGACACCTCTGCTGGCAATGAGACGGCACAATCGACTACCGTCTCTGGTGTCGAATACACTTCAGTGGTACTGACTGGGTGCCTCTTCTAGCAATGGGCCATTCAAGACGTCGTCATCTTGGTGGGGGGCCGCTTTGCGGGCAGTGCTTTCCATATTAATGGACAGTCTTTCCCAACTGGGTGCTCCTCTTGTGCTCGGTTTTACAAACAAATGAAATGTCTAACCAACACACAAGTTATCACAAAAGCTATTCAAATGAACGCCGTCTATAATGCATCAACTAAAAGGAAAGGCCAAGCTTCAGAAGGTTCACTTTCACGGCGGCGCAGGACCTGGCTGGAGAGAGCGAAGCGCAGCGAAGCGCATGAACTGTATAGACCTTTCCGCCTACCATGGTACAACATCGACTCAAGAGCAAAATGATCTGCTTAAAGAGGACCAACAAGGAAGAGCAAAAAGCAGTTGTCAATCTCTTGTCGAAAACAAAAAGTGTGTCCTTTCCCTTTTCAATATCAAATATAGAAAGATACAAAAAGGCTTCAAGCCATGAAGCATTGCCTTCACCCAACCCACCCACCGAAGCAATTCGGACCTCTTCACGAGAACGCTGTACAAGCCGCAGTCGCTTTCTAGGACCGGTGGACCCGGTAGACATTATGGCTGTGTGAAGAGTCACACTCGAGCTGAAAATGTTACAACCACAGTGGGTAGGAGTCTGCCATGCGATGCCAAAGCACGGTGCCACAAAGAAAAACAAAGGGGAGGAAAACCAGAAAGGTCTAGAGAAACAAGTAACTTGCTGCTCACCCAGTGGCTCTGCAAGGCCACCTGGTCAAAGCGGATCTCCACCTAAAAAACAATGCATTCGAACACCCGAAAGTGGGTCACAGGAAACAAATTAAAACAGATTGTTTGCGAGTGCGTGTGTCATGTTTTGGTATGTATGCTGTGCAACCTATGAAGGAGAAAGTTGATCAGTCCAGTATCAAGCATGCGGCCTCTTGCTCTCCACTTGAGGAGACCTGGCTGCTGAATGTTCTACAACAACAACCGTCATACTGAAAGACTTTTGTTGGTGTCTTCGTTGTTGGCTCGCCCACCCCTGCACCTCAGAATCTTAATTCATGTCCCCCAATCATCCTGGCCGCCGGCCTTCGTCTCTAAGATACCCCCACAAGGCAGCGCCTTAGGAGCCTGTAGGCGATCCCAATTTGACAAAACCAGCGACACTTCAAACATCTGCATTGAGTCAGTGAGGGTCCCCGGGGTCCAGCCTGCACTGAGTCACTGAGTGGAACCTTGGCACATGTTGATGGCAAAGCTGGGGGGGCTCGTCCGTCGACGCATGCAAGCGCTCTGCAGTCATCACCCAACGAGCTGTGTCCCCACTTGCTTTGTGTGGGTCTCGGGACTTAGCTTAGGATGTTTTGTTCTTTTTGCTGCTGTTGTTCCTCAGCAAGGATTCCAAAGAAAATGCAGTGCAAGGGTGTGGCCCTTAAAAGTCAGGCGCTGGGGGGTTGGGGGGAGAGGGCGCAGCGCCCCCCCCCCAAAGAACACACAAACTGCGAAAGAACTCTAAATGTTTTCCTCCAATGCCGCCAACGCCTGACCTCCCAATTCCAAATTTTACCCCTGAGTGGCACAAAAGGCATGCTAAATTGCAATTGCTTCTTCCTGCTCTAAAGTTTGCCCTTGAGACCCAAGCTGCAAGTTGGATTTGCTCCTTCCCTCCCTCCCTCTCTCTCCTTCCTGCCTTGGCTACCCACCACCAGCATAATTGCATAATCCGACCACATGCAACAGTGCAGGGTCTAGGAAACTGGCCACTGCACCAGAGAGCCGAAAGCCAAGAAACCACGAAGCCAAGAGGCCACGGAACGAATTGCCAAAAGCAAAAAGCCTAGAGCCAAAAACCAAACAATCCGCCGGCCTGCCGGCGTGTTTTGTGGATTGTTTTGGTTAGTATTGCTTGTGTTGGCTTCAATCTACGGTTTGTCTCTCCGCGCGGATTTTTCGACAGCCTGACGCCCCCCCCCCCCCCCCCCCCCAGTAGTAGCAGCAGTAGTAGTAGGTAGTAGGTAGTAGGTAGTAGGTGGAACGTAGTAGGTAGTAGGTAGTAGGTAGTAGGTCGCTGGATCAGACTAGACAACCATTGGACTGAGACATGTCGATCGCTGGATCAGAATAGACAACCTCTGATTCGGATTCGTTCCATTTCATTGTAAAACGACTTCGCTTGAAATCAACAGCAACAAACTCTCCCAGCAAAATGTGCAACTCCAATGCACCCACAAGTCTGATTGAGCAGGGTCTTGTTGTTCGATGTCATTCTGGGTCTTTCATTTCAAACGGTTTGGAGAAAAAACAACAAATCATACCAGATCTAGAAATTCTTCGGTCGCTTTGAAGCCTTCTGTGTGTGAAAAAGAATATCTGGTGCGTGTCGCAATCCCTCGAGACGGTCGAAAAAAAGATCTGAAAAGGAAAACATGCACACGGCCAAGTCGTTTGGAAGAAGAGTCGTTTTCAAGGTCATGTTTTGTGGATAGTCTTGGTTCGCATTGCTTGTGTTGGTTTCACTTGGTTCCTCTTAGGTGATTCGACTGAGACATGCCGGTTCGGATCGCTGGATTCGGATTCGTTCCATTTCATGGTCAAACTACCTTGAAATAAACATCAACAAACTCACCCAGCCAAATGTGCACCTCCAATGCACCAACAAGTATGATTGAGCAGGGTATTGTATCATTAAGCTGCCTGCCAATGCGGGCTCGAGCTGGTGGCCGGCGGCATGCCGAAGGCTGTAAATAAATACGAGCAAAATCCGTTTAAAACAGATTAAGAAAAAATATGCTAGAAAAAATACCCTCCCTTTGTTTCTGATAAAATATGGCTGACAAAAACAAATGAGGCTCCAGGCTGTTCACAAAAGGGAACACAAACTCCAGCAGCCTTGCCTTTTGTTGGAACAGAATGATTGTATAATGTGTCTTGTCATTTCGTGAAGCCTCCTTGCGCATTCAGGCACGAGCTGGTTGGCATGATAGCCAACCCATCTCAGCCTACTGAATTGGCAAGGTGATCTCTAGTGGTCGACTCTTCCAAGCTTTCAGAAGCTTCAGAAGATTGACCGACCAATCGAGAACACTGTTTGAACATGGAATTGGCTAAGTGGTGACAGTGCCCTTCTTCAAGGGTGTGTCTCCATGCAGTTGAAGCTATGCAAATCAGAGTAGTGGCATGGCCCGCAGGTGTAGTGGCATCCTGCAGGCATATCAGGAATACCTCCAGGCAAACATTAATGACATATGGGAATGTTCCATGATTTCGTGTCATTTAAGAAGTTTGTCTGGGACTTCTTCCTTGCAGTAGACATCGGCACATCGTGGAGCTTGTATGTCAGCATTGTTTGGTCTTTTTCTGCTGCTATGTTCAATCAATTGGATGAAGAGCTCTAGGTGGAGTCCTAGAACCAGCCACGAAGCACTTGATTACAATGTAATTACAAATGCTACATGGCTGGTTCATGATCTCCATGAGACCTGGTGGAAGCAGCTGTATCCGAGTGGAAGCATATTGCTTCTGCGAAAGGTTGCAGTCACTTGGCTCCAGTTCAGGAAGGCGTCGCATCCTGTTGCTTGGATCTGGCCTCCGAGGACAATGAGGGCTCGCCGAGCGAATCAAAAGGAACCCCCGTTAGCTCATGTTAGCTCTGGTAACGCCTTCTCCCACCAACGCGTCACCACTCCCACCATTCGCTCAGCAATTGCTTTCAGTTGCGGAGGCACATTTTGCTCCACCATGCCTCACTTGCACAGATAATTGCAACCAGGACCACTGATCAAAACAAACGATGTGGCGAGTTGAACCGCCAAAAAGTATATAGTAGGTTGAAACAAGCACCTCACACCTACGTCGTCACCCCACAAGGAACCCTGATCACGCAAGGGTAAGGTGGGGTGGACCCTTGGTGACAGCCTAATGCGCGAACGCGCAACGTCCCCAGGTCATCCGATGCCACTGCACCAACACCCGCACCCCTACCACAGCGCAATCGTAAGCGCAAGGCTACAGATACAGCTACAGTTACCGCAACCACAAAAAGCTCCGCCAAGCCTCCGCCTACCACGACCACCACTGACCAAGACAACAACCGCTACCGTCACCACGACAACAGCAACAACACAATCAAGGAAAACAACATCGAAGTAAATAGGACAACAAATGCAACTGGAATTGCATTGACAACAGGAGCAACTGCAGCAAGAAGAACAGCAACAGCAAAGCAAAACACCTGTGATGGCCAGAGCCTGCATGTCCTTGTGCCAGAAGTCCAAGGTCAAAAATTTGTAGATGCCGACAAATTGCTCTTCAGCCATGACGACTGCAACCACTCCACGCCACAGGTCCTGTGATGATTGGCCTACGCAACAACGTCTGAAATCTTGCCTACGCATCCCCTGGTCATGGTTGGGTCAAAGATCAACGGGAAACAGCACAGGTTAGTTTGGCTTATTTGTTGTCTTCAGGCAAAGGTATAGGTTTCCTCACTACACCCAAAACAACTGCAAAGCTGCAAACCTGTTGGATCAGTTGAATCTCCTATGTGTGAGAGAGCTCTTGCATCAGTAGTAGCAGTGGTAGAAGGAGTAGCAATAGCAGTAGCAATAGTAGTAGCAACAGTTGATACTGCCGTTGCCGTTGTTCAGTTGTTGATCAAAGGGAGTCTCCAAAAAGAGAGAGAGAGAGAGAGTATGGGCATTTGTGAGCGTGCCTGCTGATATAAGTGCGTAAGTGAGAAGTGAGAAGTGGGGCAAGACAGTCCGGTAAAGCGGGTGCCAGATGGCCGTGGCCGTATTTCGTGCAGCCCTTGGCAGAGCAAAGTATGTGGGGGGAGAAGCTTGGCAGGGCAGAAGCTGTCGTGCGGTTAGACGCGAAGTGGGTTCTGGGCGCTCTCAGCTCTGTCTGGGCTCACAAGTTAAGTGGCTCGCACCAGCAGTGCCAACTGCCAGCACCATGACAGTACATGCAAGTTTGGAGGGATTGTGAGTTGAAGAAGCACCAATGGAAACTGTCTGACACTCCGACTTATTCCAATAGCCCAACGTGACTTTGGGATACAGCCAACAGGAGGAGCCCGCGGTACCACAGTCCTTGACATCTTGAGTTTTCCATCCTTGATAGTGAAGCTGTCGCAGGAAATGACGTTGAACATGGTGCCTTGGCTTATGATATGATGGTCCAGCAGTGGGAGCATCATGCAAAAGAAACAAAATAGAGCTATGATCGCAGTGCTCACAACTCTGTGCCTGAGCCAAAGTACCACAAGGAACATCTAGCGACATTGTCACACTTTCAAGTAGAACCTGATTAGGTGCTGAACGACTGGTGGGCAGGCAGACAGGTGTGAGGATCAAGGATTGAACAATTGCAAACTGATCCATTAAGGGGTTTGGCAGCCTTGCCTGGTCTGGCAGGACAACAATGTGCCATGTACTCTGCACTCTTGTCTCCTCATCGCACTAAAGACTCAAGAGTGAGCAAAGCAGCCCGACAAGTCCTCAAGTGAACTGCCCAAGACGTAATTACCCTGCAGCTGAGCAATGACAACAAAACGCTCCTTTGGGCACATAGGTGCTGGGGGGCACTGGAGAACGCATTTCAATCGTTCGGACCTTGCGCCAGCACAAACCACATTCATACAGGACTAAAGTCCCTACCACTACAAACCTCGACAAGCCTATTTGACTCGAAATATAAAGGAACGTGCTCACCAGTGCAATGGGAAGCTTATGGTCCTTTGAGTCAACCACATGAATAAGGAAACTAGGTAAACAAAAATAGTTTGTAAGCCCGACAAACAGTTCGTGAGAAATGGTACAGCGCAAAGATACGTATTCCTCCCTACTAGTAACAAGTGCATCGCTACTAGTAGTAAGTGCATGTCTACTATCTAGTAACAAGTCATTTCATTTCTACTAGTAGCAAATAGCTACTGCTGAGATCTCGGGCCTTTCCCTTCACCGCTGATGCAAAGCTACTGCCATCACTCCAGGGGCTTATGTCCAGGTCCATGGCACCGGTCTCCTGCACCAAATTGAACCATCAAACTAGTAGCTTCTTGTTACCAGGTGTAAGGCCCTTGTTACTAGTAGCAATGCACTTGCTACTGGTAGTTTCTTGTTACCCTCCATCAAACCATGTTGTTTTTGCCCGGGGGGGTAGGCCGTAGGAATCTTTAGTAGCTAGTAGTGAGGGGTAAGTAATAAGAAACTACCAACAAGGACGCAGAAGGTTTCAGGCTTAATAATTTGTTTCCTAGATTTTTTGGGAACTTGATATCTTGTTCCGTGCATGTATTGTGCTGTAGACTTGTCAATGTCGGACTTTCTATACCCGGGTAACATCTGAAGCGTGTCCAATCTCCGTTGTTTGTACCTATTCTGGCTAGTTGCCAGCAGTTGGCAGCGAATCGTCTCCAAATCATCATATTGGCAAATCAAACGGAGGGACTGAGAGATCAGGTTTTTGACGGTAAACAATATGGTCTAAAGTGTCTAGCAACCTATGAAAACAAGAACAGTGGGGTCTAGGTCTCGTCCTGGTGCATTTATCGATTGGGCCAGGTTGTGGGGCTCTCAGCAAAACATAGGATGACTCAAGGAGAATGAACTTGAGGCCAGAGGGGGTGAACGAAAGCTAGCCGGGCTTCCGGTGGTCTGCTGCTGGTGCTGCTGCTGCTGGTGCTGCTGCTGCCGCTGCTGCGCTGGGCGCTGCTGCGCTGGGCGCTGCTGCGCTGGGTGCTCTGCAGGCGCCGGGTCGTCTGCTGCTGCTGCTGCTGCTGCTGGCGCTGGGTGGTCTGCTGCGGCTGCTGCTGCCGCGGCGTTGGGTATGCTGCTGCTGCCGCCGCTGGGTGGTCTGCTGCTGCTGCTGCTGCCGCTGCTGCGCTGGGCGCTGCAGATGCTTGGTGTGCTGCAGCTGCTTGGTGGTCCCGCTCACCGCGCGCAGGGGGGAGTCGAACCGCGGGGGGGGGGGGGTCCATAAGATTGATTTAATCAATTATTTGAGGTTTCTGAGGTGCGTCCACCCCGTCACTTAACTTGCTAAAGCAAGAGCAACTCCAGCTAGCTAAGGCTAGCTTTCGTGATGAGTTGAATATGAGAACGAAACAGGTCCAGCGCAGGCGCCCTTCAAATCTATTTAGGACCTAGGCATGCAAGTGTGTGTGCGTGTGCGTGAAACCCTTGGAGTCACAGGGAACCTTTAGGGTTTTTTTGCAGGGGAGCGGTGGGCATGCTTGAAGTCACCGATCAACGAAGACACTTCAAGATTGCTGTGATATGCAATCTGGATGCAGATTGCACGTACCTGCGCAAAGATGATTACCATTAATCCTTCTGGGCCCCTTTGTCACTAGAACAAGTCCCTGGCCTTTGCATCGGTTTGAGATCTGCAGACAAATGCCCGCCGTCGTTTCAGACTTTGTGCTCTTGGAGGTTCTCACGGAGGTTTTCACTTATGGTCAAACCGTCAAACCGCTTTACATACTTGTACCCTGACCTCTTAGGCTTTCGCACCTAGGTGGGAGTGTGGTGTGCGGCACTCAGCTTCAATATGCAACATCTCGAGTGTGTGAAACCTTTGGAGTCAAAGGGAACCTTTGGGTTTTTCAAAGCAGGGGGCTCTCGGAGCCTGCATGAGAAATGCTTAGCAGACCAAGGAAAGGAAAGAGTGAACCGAAAGGCGAAAAGTCAGAGTACTTGAAGGTGTTTGAACAAAGGTTAACGCGTGACTGCAGAAAACTAGTTACTGATTACTTAGCAGCGTGCAAAGAAACCTGTTTTGGGGGATATCATGCCAAGAACCACCATGGAAACCAACCAGGAAAAGTGGAGTCACCGCGTGGACAAGAATTTCGCAGGTACGTTTGCAGCCCCCCCCCAGTGGCCTCTTCGTTGGCCATCCGCCACTGGGGAGGGGATGGCCCCCCTGCGTGAAAGTAAAAGGGTGCGATAAACAAACTCCTAGAGACGGAGGGTGACACACACACACACACGCACACATAGTCATAGTCAGGACATATACCCCTAAGGGGTGTGTCCTCCACTGCAGAACCGAAATTTTAAGACACATGATAAAATAAACCAAAGTCCAACCAAGGAACCTAACGAGACAAGCCATAGGGAAGTAAACCGAAAAGGGCTCCAGTGAGCCAATTACCGTGGGTTTCCCCAGGTTAGGGAGTCGCACTGCCTGGGGCCCAAACAGGGTCATAGCATCACCCAACCATTTGGGGGGGGGAGAAGGCAAAAGAAAATAGAAACGCACGAGACCGACAGGCCGTCGAAAAACGGAAAGGACGGGCACACCTGGCGTCGACCTTAGGACGAAGACGAAGTACCTGACGAGCTTGGGACGTCGAAGAGCACGCAAGGACATCTTTTCAGCGGGCGAGACCGCTCTTCCCTGGACGGGACCAGGGGCAACCAGCTTCGGTGGACAAAAAAAAGTATAAAAGGCACTTGCAAGGTCCTTCAGAGACGAGTACGGGTGTCACGACCTTCAGGAGTTGGTGAGGGTCGCTTGATTCCGCTCGGACGGGAAGTCTTGCCTGGCGGAGTCCAGCCGACATCTCCGCAGACTTCCTGATAATCTGTTGATTTTGCAGGGGGGCACGGGCATGGCAGCTGTTTCCCTAGCCATGCCAACGAAGCTATGGGATTCAGCCAGAAGGGAATGTGGACGCACATTCTTGTACCTGCAGTTTTGACTTCTCACTCCCTACTTGGTCCCGTTCGTAGCTAGAACGAGACTTTGGCCATTGCAGCGGTTCTTCATCACATTTCTTCTTGTACTTTAACTTTGAGCTTTGGGCCTATACTCTGCAGATGCGAACGACCGTTGTCATTTCGTCCTGTCGTCGCTTCCGGGTTACCTAGGTTGCCGTGTGGCGAATGGCTTTCAATTCAGTACGCAGTATCTCGAGTGTGTGTTTGCACGCTGGTCTCCTTGCAATGATGACAAAATCACTCTGGCTATGTGATAGCTGGTGCATTCATTGGAAGGGTGGTTCTTTTCAAGGAAGAGACACAACATCTGCCGAAACCTTTTTCAGATTTGAGAGACTGACTCCAGTGATAAGCGCATCCTAAGCTTTGAAACCATTCAAGGCACATATTCTCCTGTCCTCCCAGTAGAAGGCCATCAAGGAATCTGGATCTTTCCAATCATCACTTTCCAATGACTGGCCGAGAAGCTCCAGAGAGATTTCACCAAGAACCTGCTCGAAGATGGTCTCTTTTGCAGTTGCCGGAGCCTACGCAGAAAGGAAAGCTGCTCAGGCGATCTGCTGTCCTTCCAATTCCCAAATAATATCAAAAAAGTCCTGAACACCTAAACACCCAAGTCCCAAGACATGAAGCATGGGCAGCTTGCCTTGTTCTGTATCAGTGAGATGGGTGCTCTGTCAAGAGCTGCAGCGGCTGCGTCATCATCAGCATCCGTGTAGAAGCACGGCTGCCAACACCTTCGCCGTACAAAGCTCACGGATCCACAATAAGGCAGCCATCCCGTGTTGCCCATAACCTTAGGAGCTCCAGTGAACAGAGTCAAAAAGAGGGAAGAGCTGAAGGGCCCCACAAGAGCAAAACTAGTAAATTTCAAAAAGGAGCAAAGTCAGTGGAGTACTGCCACCCAAGTTCATCAGTCTCACCATCAACAGGACATGTACTCCTGCCAGCAAAGGTGTTCGGATGGGCGCTCCACTTTCCACAGTGCAAGCATGTTTGATTGTGCAAGTAATGTCGCTCCACGTGCAATTCCGGCGCATCCCCAAAAAACTCGACAGACTCGACCGGAGGAATGTCACTCACCTCGAATCAAATCAAGCGATATTGTGTTAGTTGAACACGCTTTGAATTGCATGAGAACTCACTCAAATGACATTATCTCCCCACTCTTCTCAACTCCTCTCCACTCCTGTCCTTTCCTCTCCTCTCTTTCTATGTATTGCTCTACTCCCCTCTTTTTGCCCAGCAACGGCAATCTTCTCCTCTGCCATGCTCACAGGGATGAAGGGATGGCGTATGTAAGCATTGCCTTCCAAGGCGACCCATTTCATCTTGGCCGCACCATCATGTGGCCAATACGGCGCTTTCCAATGAGACTTGAAGAGATTTGTGCGTCTTTCAAGTTCCCACATCGACAACTCCTTCAGCACCTCAGATACACTTTGACAAAAAAATGTTGGGAGCATGTGAGAACATGATTTGAGGATACCTGGAATATTGTGACAAGTGAGAAAATGGAACCGAATCTAAGGCACTTCATCGGGCGAAATCATGGAGGCAGTCCGCACGAGCCTTGTAGAGGTCGGAACTTCCTTGACCGACTTCTCCATTGGACTCTTCTCGGGACTCTTTACTTCAGATTCCTCGTAGATGCCGAAGAGATCCGCACCAACCTTGGAAACTGAATTGCCCTGACCATTAAACCGGGCTTCCTCGTGTTGGACTGAGCCCACTCTGTGTCTCCTACAATCTTCCATTCAGTCAGTCTGGCACCATATGTTTTTGGATTTGAGCCAAGCAGCAAAGTACATTGCACTTTTTTGGAATATTCCCAAATCAGAGAACTCAAAGACTCGCAAATCCAGCATCTTCACATCCTGATCAAACAACCAAATCAAACATACAGTAACATAACAAAATACAACGCTCGAAATCGCACTAACTGATTGTGTGGCCTTGCCATCGAAGTCCATAGCCTCTTTGAGGGACACCACCACTGGGTATGTATGGGATTCAGAATTCTCTTCTAATCTCAAGCCTGAGAAGAAGCGCGCAGTTCTCAGAGTGAAATTACAAATACCAATCACATATGTGTGCAGCTGCATATGTATATATATATATATATCCAACTCTACAAATGGTCCGACAACATTAGCCGATCAAGAACAAGATGCTTGCAATTTCTATCCACTTGGCTGCAAAGGAGACCTCAACTCCAAGGACATAGGAGTAGAAGCACAAGCGGGTGTTGGTGATGAAGACTTTACCTGCACGAACACAACACACCGGCAATGGCAACTTGCCAACTGCATGCTTTGGACTGCTGACACTGACGCGGCCAGCTGAACCAGGCCTGGATGCCGGAAGTTGCGCACTTTGACAGATCCAGGCAAAGACTGGATGAGAATCTCGCCGGCCACGTCTGAGAAAATCCTTCCAAACTCGTCTGCCTTGCAAAAACTGGCGATATGAGCGTTGCAGCGTTGCTCAGTTTTGGCCCTTCTTTTGCAAGTTCAGCACCTTTGGGCGGCACGAGAATCCAATGATTTCATCGCTCTCAGGTGCTGGCGCCAGGTCCGCTTCCCAAACTTTCAAGCCCGAGTTCTCGAGCGATGCGTTCTGCACGTGCCCCACTCTCCTCGTTGCCTGCAGCGAGGAACTTGGCCCAAGAGAGTTGAACACGATGAAACCGAAACGTGATGAAACTGTGTTTTATTACAGAGGGAAAATACTCCAGGAGTCTCAAGTTGTTCGGTGTCCAGTGAAGAACTGTTTAGTTTCACTGGAAGTTCGTTGCCTTCACCTCGCAGCCAGCGCTCCAGAGCAGCCAAGTGCTGCTCGGCTGCACGTAGATGCTGAAGCGGCAAATCGTCATTGTTTTCCTCTTCAAACAGAAAACAAGCGCGCAAGCATTCCCCCGCCCAACATCTATACCGGAATCATCCGGAATCTAGTAGTCCTGGGCAAGTTTGTGCACCAGAGCAGCACAGCGCGAGGGCTCCCCCACCCGCAGCTGCACACATTGCTCGCGTGCACGAGTTAGCACCTCTGGTCAATTGGCACCCTCAACAGGTTCAATATGGGTGTTTGTGTGTGTGCGTCTCAAATAGCCCTGAATCGTGACTTTGGAGCAAAGCAGCTTGATCTTTTCTAAGATGAAACTGAAACTCCGTAGGCAAGTCACACGCGAAGCGGCACGACGCTCCGCGGCAACCCCACAAAGCTGATTGCACAGCCAACCCAAGCACCTGAATGTCAATGCGAGCATCTCAAACAATCAATTGCAAATTACTTTGAAAGCCAAGAGAAGCTGCAAACATCTATTGAATATACAGAACCTGAACCCACCCTGCAGAATATCAGATGTTGTCTGCAGTGCCCGTTTGGCGAATGCATTTCTCCAAGCCGCTGTAAGGGTGAATGGCGTGCAAGTTCATCCGCCATGCCAGGGCAAGCGAAAGTCACGGTCGACGAAGAGTCAACAATTGAATGTCTGAATCTCTGCATGTGCTACTCTGTCACAGATCTTTTTTGGTCAGGGACAGAGAGCTGTTATATTTTAGTCTTCTTGGGTAGAACGGTAGAACTAACCAAAGTTCGGCTCTTTTACTGTTCCGCGCTATATCAACATACGTTCGAAAGTTCCTCATCTGGAGCCAAGCTGCCATGTGGACATGCCAAAAAGTGTGAAAGTCTCAACGAGTAATTGCAGAATTGTGATATAATTTCATGTCAGCATGTTCTATCCTCTACTGTTTGAGTGAGATGCCATTTCCTTGTCCCCAGGCTAACTCAAGAGCCTGCCTAGTTCTTATTGCCAACAAACAAATGGAATGAATTCTGGTCCCAAGCTGCAACATGTTGCACCAAATGTCCATTCGTGTATCCCGTCCCTTGTAGGTCTTGATTCTCGGTTCCATCTGCAATAAACAGGTTGAGTTGTGTGCGTTGTTCAGGTTTTCTCCCGTGAGGCTGCGGAGTGAGTATATATCCCCTGCGTCGCCTGAAGAGCTCTGCAATACCAAAGCGGTCAAAGTGAACATATCCTGGTCGAACATGCAGAAAGCTGACAAAGGCTTAAAATTTGAAAAGTGCAATTGTGCCTCCAGTCTGTTCATGGCCTATCTTCCTAGTGAATTCTCTCTTCGCATTGCTACTTTGAACTGTGAACTTTTCTATCACTGTTCTCTGGCTCTGATCAAAAGGTCTCACAGTACTTTGCTGATTAGCATTGTGCCATGCAAAATGACGACCTCTTTACTCCGGCCATCAGACCATCTACGATTTACGTCTCGCCTGTGCCTTTGCCCAAAAGAGCAATGAGCGAATTGGAATGGTCGGGAATTGGCCAAAACAAAAGAACATGTATATAGCCTTATATGGCATGTGAAACTTAAAACTTAAAACATACATAAACATACCAAAACACTGAGACGTTTTCGGTTGGGAACATAGGACAATTCATGTCCAGTCGAACTGCGGCCGGAGATGGCTCTTGGCACCCAATGTGAGCCCAGCCAGAGTAATTCTTGAGCCCAAACTAGCAGCACTCTGTTGTTGCACGGTTCCCAATCCAACACAACGTCACCTTTCGTATCTTTGGCTGCCATTTGGCACCACCTTCTGAGTGCTGCACCGGACTTCGCAACTTACCCCACAAAGACCACTGAGATCTGTGCACCTTTGGCTTCGACAAAAGTGCGACGGGGTTGCTAATGACGAGCATGAGATTCAAAAAAACATGTCATATAATGTCATTATATACTCAGTAATTCTGCTTTGATTGTTGTGAGTTCAGACTTACATCAATTTCAACGATGGAATGACCAATGGAGTATGCAGAATGCTTCGCCGCAGGTTGCGGTGCCTTGCACCGCAGTGGAGGCTCGAAAAGAGATGGTTCATTGCCGCTGCTGCTACCCGATGCCTGAATGATTGCAGAGCACAGCAGTGCACTGTACTGCACAAAATCCAGAACACAATGAAAGACTCATGTCTTCTTCCTTGTCAACCATCATCTTTTCAACGTCCGTTCTTCCGTTTCCTCAATCACCGTTTTGGCCTCGCAAAAATTCAGCTCAAGCCTTGAAACCATTTTGGAACCGAGGCATCACGGCTCCACTCAACGGACTCAGCCAAGTTCTCCGCTCAACCGGCTCAGCGCCATCCGCTTCTCCATTGAAACGCAGCTGAATGGAACCAGCCTGGAAACATCATTGTACACAGCCTTTGCAAGGTCCCTTGATGATTCTCTCACCCTTGCGCACTATCGCATGCATTTCTCTCTTTCGGGGGGGACCTGAAGCAGCTTGGCATGCCGTGCCAGAGTAGGCAGGACCTCAATTAAGAGAGGCTGGACAAAAAATTTTTCACTGGTTCTGGTTCTTCACCTTTCAATGAGACGCAGAACAGCTCAAATGGATTCAAATAGTTTCAATTCAATGATGCCTCACAACTCAGCTGATTTGTCTCCAGCAGCCGCTGTGCGATGGAGAGCCGTTTCCTGGCTTTGGTGGTAGATTGCGGTATCAAATTCACAACAAAAAGAATGTCCTGTCAATAACCGGTCTGCATGTTTGACCTGTCACCAACTCAGCAAGGCAAATCCTCAAGCCACTTCGCAGCAAAGGGAGTGCGTGGTCTCCTTCAAGATTCACCGTGCATTGACTCATGTCAATGTAAGTCGAGAACTGATAGTTGTTTCGCTTATGGAATCACTTCCTGTCTGTGCGAAGCAAAAGTTGTCCATGCTCACAACATCGATTCGACTGCCATCCTGCAAGCAGCCACAGAAGCGCAAATATCAAGAGGCTGAACCAACCTGCCTCCAGAAGCAACCGCAGGTTTGCTACCTCCTCAAGGCATCAGTCCACGTGTAGGGCATAGCAGGTTATCCAATGCAGAATCCACTAAATCACAAGGCATCAATCAAACTTTAAAATGTGAAAGTTAAAGCCCAAGGCTCCGTGTCTGCAAGATCAAACTCCACTGCCACTGCTCCACCCAGAGGTGTCTCGCCAAAGTGGCATCGAAAATTTTCGTGACGAGGCGGTGGTTCAGGCGGCACAACTCCTCAGGACACTCATGTGGTGACCTGTTCTTTTTTTGTTCTTTTAGCCGGCTCCCCCCCTCCCTATTTATAGTTAAGTAAGGCAGTAAGCTAGTTGCTACTTAAGCTTAGCTAGTAAGCTATTAAGTAGGCAGGGCGCTACTACTAAGCCATCCAGTAGCTGTTACGCTATTCATGGGGTTCCTAATAGCGATGGCCTCCAACTACTAGCTATGGCCTCCAACCTAATAGCGACGCCCTCTCCAACCTAATAGCGACGGCCTCCAACTACTTGCGATGGCCTCCAACCTAATAGCGATGGCCTCCAACCTACTAGTGATGGCCTCTAACTACTAGCAATGGCCTCCAACCTAAAAGCCATGGCCTCCAACCTAGCGATGGCCTAATAGCGACTAGCGATGGCCTCCAACTACTAGCGATGGCCTCCCAACCTATATAATACCAAGTTAATACCAGTAGCGATGGCCTCCAACCTAGATGTTCAGGGAGAGTGTGCAATGGCAGCGAAGCTGAGGCAACGGCGGCGCCATCCGGCATCAGCAAGAACCCCTTCAGCAGCTGCTGTCAAGGAAGCTAATCGCACTGCCTCTTCAACAGACAAAAGAAAGCACAGGTTCATTGGTAGAGCAACCAGCCCTTGCCTCTAGCCGAAGAATAAAGGCTTCTTGGCCTCAGTTGTGTGCCAAGCAAATCAAATACCAAGGAAAGCCTAGTCAAGTCTGAGAAAGAATGTATCTGGGCGACAAGCCACCGGCCACCTGGCACTCACCATACTAGAACGCACTTATCATGTCGCAAGGAGTTAATCCTGCGCCTTGGGGAGGAGCTCAGAATACTCTGAGGTTGAGAGCACAAGTCGACCAAGAGAGTCAAGATCGATGTAGACCTACAAAAATCTGGAAG